CCGCCACTGAGTATGCCGCCGCCCGTCTCCCTCGGTCCCGCTGCCACTGAGTATGCCGCCGCCCGACTCTCACGTGGTCCCGCCGCCACTGAGGACGCCGCCGCCCGACTCCCACGTGGTCCCGCCGCCGCCTGACCCCCACAGTCCCGCCGCCACGGACCATGTTATCCTGTCATACTGCACAGGCGGATGTTCACAACCCGATTTATCGCTGCCCATCTATCCTTTTATGCCGCTGATGCAAAATAACGTGTTCCGTGCGTCGTCGCAAAACAAAACCTATGCATTGCTAATAAGCGCAACATGACCTATTGCTGCCTCTTTCTCCACGAGGACCCGTGGGTGTACCAAACTACTCGAAAAGCTGACGGCCACACGTTGCTGCAAATATATCCGTGCCATATGGGTTGACTGGTGTCTGAGGTACGGATGATTGGCCGCATTATGCTATTTAGTCACATAAAATGAGCTTTCTTGTCGCAAGGCTTTCTAAGATAACGTAGTAACTCAAACTCTTACAGAGCAATTAAGTTCGCATGACGGAGATCTGTTCGAGATCATCGCATCGCATCGCGATGCGATGAGATCATCGCAGAGATCGCATGAGATCATCGATGAGATCATCGCGCCGACGATGCATCTCCGCATCCCGCCACGCGGTTTGTTCGTTGCGGTCCCACCAGCCTACTGATGGTACAACTCATAGGCCGCGGTGTTCATCCGATTGGCTTGTTTGGCGCGCTGCCCGAGACGTGCGCGTAATAAGACGATACAATCCTGTTGTTGTCGAATGGTGGAAGAGCTGAATAAGTGCCGGGCCAGGGCGCGCGGCCGCTTCACTACCGAGACGTGGTTCCAATCTCTACGCTTCACAGGGTGATGAGCACTGAGTATTCAGGGTGCGCTAACTTCTAGATCATGTGCTCCCGATTGGAATCTGAGGAATGCTATGGAACTCAGCAATGGAGGCAACTGTGTTGAAGATGTCAGTTCGACGCCACACTTTCCGTGACCCGCCGTTCAGCGAGCATGAGGCTTTGACCGCTCGTAGTACTTATCGGTCATGGTCTGTGCGGTTTAAAGCCAAAGTTTTCGTGCGCGCGCGGCCGAAAGCTGGCATATGGCACGTGCTGCGTGATGCATTTTAGCCCATTGCTGTTGCTTTTTCTTTTGCATTGGCGGTGTAGGAAAGTGATCCGCACGAAGTGGAAGAGCAGCCACTCGAAAGCATGGAGGTATCTCGCACGCACGGATGGAGGCGACAGGAATGGGTGCGTTTTGGTGGAAACTGATCGGGAAAAGTGAAGAAGTCAAGGAAGGTTCGCCCGATCCGATGTTCATAGTCCTATCCTCACGAATAATGCCTCCTAACAAATAATTATTCGCCTTTGCTGCCATGCGAAAAAGACCCCTGCCGACACCCCCCCCCCCCCCCCCTCCTATGACACCATGCGCCTGTCTCCCTGTCCCATCATCCCCCCCCCCCCCCCCCCCCCCCCCCCCCCCCCCCCCCCCCCCCCCCCCCCCCCCCCCCCCCCCCCCCCCCCCCCCCACCTGCTCGGACTGTGAACGACGACGACCGGGGTCGTATCACTAAAGCCGTACACATAATTAGGAATACATCTACAGGTAACAGAAATGCACCGTTCAAATGATGCATTTGCTTTCTTCACACATTTTGAAAGCTCAATACCATCACTTACTGAAATATGCGCAAAGGCGCCTTCATATTTCAATAACCAGGAACAAATATCCGTCCCCCACAGAAACACATGGGGTAACAACAAACTTTCCGGGAAGAGATTAAAACGAACGGGAACCCACCCTGAGGTCTCACTCAGTGAGTCCCACGCGAGATGGGCTTTCATTACCGAGCCCCATCCATGGTGAGCTCGAACCATTTTTCCGTATTCATTGGCGCGGAGCCGCCACGTCCCTGCGGGGCCGCCCCCCGCCGGCCGTCACCGCAGCGGGGTCACGCTGGCCGCGTGAGACCCGACCGGCGCCGCCGAGAGCCGGCCGACGCAGGCGACCGCGCGCGTCTGGCATCGCTGACCCCGCGCAGCATCGGCAGCGGCGGCGGCGGCGGCGGCGGCGGCGGCGCGCCCGTGGATCGGACACCGCCCGCAACTCAGACAGTTCGGACACAAACGGTGGCCCGGACGGAGCTCCCGTGACAGGCCTGCGCGTCCTTCCTCGACGTGCAGATACCCGAGCAAGCCCGCGAGCGAGCGCCGCGTATCTCAGCAAGCGCGGTGCGCACGAGCCAGGCGCCTCCCGCCCCGTCAGAGATGGCAACTCCCGTCACAGGCCGACCCGCAATCTCGCCCGCTGGTACCCATCACCCTCCGGACACCACGCGGCCGCCCGCGCTCCCGCGGGATACCTCTCACATCTGTCGCGACCCGCTCGAGGGCAGCCACAGGTCGCCGGCGGCTCACGCAGCGCCCAGACCGCGCTTGGCGCGGATCGCCCGCCATCGCTCCCCACCCACCTACCATTTGCGGAACTTGGAGGCGTTGGCCACCTTAACCGTGCAGTTGTGCAGAATGTCGGAGACCAGGTACAGACGCGAGATCTGCCGCAGGGTGCACACCGGTCAGCGGGGGAGACCGATCGACACAGGGCGAGGAATGCCGACTGCAGCCGACTGCAGTACGGCCACTGGCTGGCGAGCCACGACTCGCCGCAGGACGCGGCTGCTGGGGGCGTATCAAGTGCGTTAGGGGATCACATTGGACGTCTCATGTTGAATAAAAACGAAATTCGTCAACAATGTCAGGAACTGGGGAAGCCCGTCGAATATTGCACGATTTTCGGGCAAAAACGAAACACTCGAACGACGACAGCCTACAGCATTTGACAGCGTGGAAACACGTGAGGATGAAGAGCTATTCTACGTCGATAACGGGCGTCTGAAATGCTTATTCGATCAAGACAACATCGCCTCGTGAGGGCGACATTCGTCGACCACTTATCACACACACTCCCAAACTGGAGCCAAGCCATCATCCGCTACACAACATCCACCCTGCCCTCGTCATCAAACACGCGGCCGTGCGCAGGCCCGGTGACCGCACTGGCCGCCGCCTTCTCATCGCCAGCCCGGCGCGGCGCGCGGCCGCAGCGAGCCGCGACCCAGGGGTCGCCGAGGTCAACCCCGCGGCAGCCCGGCGACCCGGCTCCGGCGCGGCGGCGGCGGCGGCACGGCCGGCCGTAACGGCGCACGCCCGGCACGTGCCGCGGCCCCGCTGGCGGGTCGGCGGCCCCAACGAGGACGGACGGCCGAACCGGCGGCGCACAGTAACCCCGGCGCTCGGCCGGCGGGCGGGTGGGACCGCGGCCGGTCGTGGGCCCGCAAACCGAGCGGCCGCGATACCGCTCTGTGTCAGAGATGCACGAAAAGCAGGCCTATTTGAAAGCATACAACTTACGTTCTCGCGCAGGATTTTGGAGATAGCCAGAGGCACGTCAGGAGATTTACTAAAAGTGGTCGCTACACTGGGCGCCGCGACCCAAAGCCCGCCGGGGAGCCAATAAAACGACGTACGGTTGAGTGTACCCGCACAAATATCTCAAGCGCTGGACCAAACAAGGGTGAAATGAAAACTGTTTTACGATGGCGTTTAATAACGTTATGTCAACAGCATCTGCAGGCAATTCTGAGCAATACCCCATCATTGGCCGCGGGGCGGCGTGTCCCTGGGCTCACAGCGATAACAGACCTTTCAGCTCGTAGCCGCATCACAAATTATATATATTACAGGACGAAAATTGCGTCCAATCGGTCGCGCAGTGATACCGAACCAATGCAGCGCATTTCCAAGAGATGAAGGACGAGGATGGGAGTCTAATAAACCACATGTAACACCTATTCACACTGAGTTATGTTGGATAAGTATCAACATATAGTATAATAGTGTTTTATCATAGCATTTATGTGTTCGTATATATATATATATATATATATATATATATATATATATATATATATATATAGATAGATAGATACCGCACCATGCTTCATTAAACAGCTTGTACATCATCGTGATAAAATGAAACGCCGCAAATTAGGGCGTTGTTCCTAAGCGCTTCGCCATCATTAAAAATTACCAATACAAACCTTCAGCGGGATACTCTTCATTAATAGCAACCATTAGGGCTTCACGCCTCACCGACTGACAATGCCATTTCATGACGGATGCCTTTATTAGGTATCATGAGAGATGTGGCGATGACATGGCCGGACTCGAACCCGAGACCGACACGTCCGGAACCGAGCGCCTTAACCACTATACCACCGCCATCCCCAAACGCGCCGGAGCCGCCTCACCTTGGACGTGAGCCGGCTGCTGGCGGTGGAGAGCGCCTCGGTGATGCAGAGGCAGATCTCCTCGGCGCTGTCGGCGTGGTCCAGGCACCAGACCATGATCTCGGCGATGACGTCCCGCTCGGGCGCGATGTGCCGCAGCTGCGACTCGAACCGCACCCGCTGCCTGCCGGGCGCGCGTGCTCGGCGTCAGCGGCGGCCCGCCGGGCCGGCTGCGTCGCGTCACGCGGCAAAGCCCGCCGAGTCGCGACACGGTCACGAACAGCTGGTGAACAGTTGGCGAACGTCCGCGCCCGCGGATGTTCGTGGCCGGCTGCGACGGAAACTGAACCCTAATCTCTCGATAGAGAACGCAGCGCTCCCACCCCTCGGTCTCCTGCAGCGTCACCCAGGGCGCGTGGATCTCTTCGGGTGATACGGCGTCGGTGTCCCGCGCCCTGTCCTCGGCATGGCTTCCGGCCGACACGACGTCTTACCTAAGGCGACAATGACCTACGCGTCATACAGCCTCGGACGTCCCACCCAATTGCCGTGTAATGTGACACGAAACGAGCCTGTACATCGTCCACATGAACTCTTTCTCCCAGCGCTGCTTCATCAAACAACTATTTTCATTACCCGACACTATGATTGTGGTGCTCTTGGAAGAAAGTCAATTTCATCGAACAACACAATCAGCTCCTTCCCGCGCAATTATCTTCCGCATCGATTCACTTGCATAACATAACCTCTACGGTGCATGTCTGCACATCATTCTCCACACCGCATTCCAGAGACCCCCGTCTGGCTTGAGCGGAATGCGGCATACGTCTCCAGGGTAACGCTAGGAGCGAACACGGGCGCTCCCAACTCTACGGAGATACGGAGGCGTGCGGCTGTAGCGCACATCGTGGCCACGCTGGCGTTCATAATAGGCGCTCCGGAGCCCAAAGATGCCCCGGTATATATGGGAAAAACAACGATCATGATCATCCAGTCCACTTCCGCGAACTGGCTTGAGGGCTTTGTTTTGGACTGTGGCAAGTAAACTGCGGCGAGCAATCTGTGCGCCAGGGCCGCCATACAATGAGGCTGTTGTTTGCGGATGGGCGGGATCGCGCATTTGAACAGATGTTACAGGCGTCTGGTAAAGCTCCTTCAAATGCTATCTTTACGGCCAAGCCTTACTCGAGTTCTAAAACTCTCAGGCCTACACAATGTTGAGATGAGAACTGCCCGCAATAAACTAACTCGGATGATGTTAAAGTTGATGGCGTTTACGTACGACAGGCGCGGCAACACACATGAAATATAGCTTCGCAGACCGAAAAAACAGCCGGGACAAAACAAAAAGTGCTTGCCTTCAACCAACGAAAGAAACGTCCCAAAATGCCAATAATTGAGAAAAAGAATTGGAAAAAAGGAACGTCCCAAACCTGCATCAGCCAATAACGCCAGCATACTATGCTGACATATACATATATATATATATATATATATATATATATATATATATATATATATATATATATATATATATATATATAAACAGGGAGACTGTCCCACGCGGCGATTTGGAACATACATGAAAATGCAACTCGCACACATGGATCAAGCATGTTGTACGAACTTGAATTCTAGCAATGACCAGTGGGGACGCGGCGACTTCAACCTGGGCGGCCATGATCTGCCATACAGCAAGGACCTGGTCGGAACGACAGCGGAAGACGGTCGGTGAATGGACCGCGTTTGATATGAAGCAGCCCGCGCTTGACATCGGGAACATGCAAAGCCCGCATAAGGCGCGAGGGTCAACAAGCTCGATTAAGGGCTACAAGGCTACCGAGCACGTGCAGTGACGTCACATAGATTCCCGTCGCGATGTTCACAACGGCAGCACCCGAAAATAAGACAATGTGACCTTAAATTACACGAGATGCCTATGTTTGTGAGTGAACAGCAGAGAAGTACGCACCAGCTAGTCACTGGCCCGTATTCCCGTTGGAAGGAAGACTGATGAAGATCAATTCATTTGACACCTTTGACATCCGCCGCTTGCTTTTTCGCATTCGAGGGAGCATGCCTCTAAGAGTTCGCGATTCCCGGCGTTAACCGTTCAGCGCTGTACGCCGCGCACAGCAAGAGAATCAGCTGCGAGACAGCTGGGCTCCCCCAGGTGCACTCATGTGCCAGACGTGACGCTATTCCAGACAAAACAATGCTGACAGCGCACTGACGCCTCCCTGCTGACCGGCCTACGCAGAGCAGCCAGCGGCCGTCCCTGTACCCGTCCCCGGCCCCGGCCCCCGCCCCCGGCCCCGGCCCCGGCCCCGGCCCCGGCCCCGGCCCCGCCCCCGCCAGACGCAACTCACGACGCTGAGAGCAGCTTGTTGCGCTTCGACTCGGGCTCCGGCTTCTTGTGGTGGTCGCGGTCCATCATGTACGGGTTCATGGGGGGCGGCTTCCACACGGAGCCGCCTGTTGGCGAGAGGGCAGAAAGCACAGTCATTGACCGCTCACCGCGCGCCGGCCCGCGGACACCCCGGCCGGCGACGGGGTGGCGCGGGCGCGGCCCCATGGCGACCGCTCCAGTAGTCACGGACATGGGTGGGCGTCACGCTGCTGACGGCACACGCTTCCACGCCGGCTGTCGCAGTGGGAGCGGCGAAGCTCCACGCTATGCGCTGGATTCGGACCCGTGCATCAGGACTGGAGCGTCAGGGAGGATGAAGGGACGCGGCGAGACGGACGACGCGGCCGACGACGATGGGCTGACGGCCGTGATCAGATGAGACCTTACGGCAGCAGCCCATGATGTGGGACACACACATAGTCATCGTGGAGCCCCCATCCTCCTGCTGATGTCGCCCACACAACTCATAACGCCACCATTCGGCCCCCTGACCGCCGTAACTGGCTGGGTTGCGCGCTCTGGCGAAGGAATCGGACACCGACACGCTTGCAAGAGGAAAACAACGCACTGAAATGCATTCTCGAAAACTCCACCCAACCAGGCTCCCACAAATGAACTCCTTCGCATCCCCTCCTCCCCCTCTATACACGCAAAGACACGCACACCGCATCACATCCCCGCCGACCTGAGAGCAGCGTGTGAGGCGCCCCGCTACGTCCGAGGAGGCAGGAGGGCGGGGAGAGGCGGGGACGCGTCCCGCCGGCGGCGGCGGGCCGGGCGGCAGCGGGCCGGGCGGCGACGGGCCGGACGGCGGCGCGGCTCACCCTTGAACATGCGGAACTCGTCCGTGCGCCAGCGCTGCGGCGAGTCGCCGTGCAGCAGGCTGTACAGTTTCCAGCGGTAGTAGATGTGATCGGCGCTCTGGTTTTCAAACAGAAACCTGGCGGCGCCGGAGCGATGCGTTAGTTCGGAGGAGGAGCGGTCGTTCCGCGGCCTGCGGCGCAGCCCGTGGAGTGGGGCGTACGGCATCACCCGCCGGACCCGGGCCACTCGCCTCACCACACCCCGGTGGAAAAGCTGGGTCTAGTGAAGCTCCCCTCGGACCGAATGGGCCTCGGATCCTCGAGAAAACCACCCAGACGGACACTTCATCGTGCCCACCTGTACATGTCGTTGTCGATCTCTTTGTTCATGATCATGGCCTCGAAGAGCGGTCCCTCGCGGACCACGAACTCCACCATGCGGTGGACGACCATCAGCTTGGCCCTGCGGCAGACAGAGAGGCATGCGCTCGTCCCGCGGCCCCTGCTGGCCGGCCAGGGGCCGCCGCTCAGGGGCCGGCGGCCGCGGCGGTGAGCTCCCAGCGGACGGCAGGAAGCACGGCAGGCGGTGAGGAGGTGCGGGTAACGAGCCGCGCGGCTGGAGGATGTATTAGTGGGGGACGCGGGAAAGACGCGACGAAAAGGCGTCAGTAGGAAATCACATGTTACAGGGTGTGGAGGAGCGCTGCGCCTGGAACGCATCAGCGGGACCTAAATATGCGGGTGAGGCACAGAAGTCAGGCGATGCAACACTTTTTAGCGTGGTTTTGGCAGACGAAGCCTGTGTTTACACGTCGTCGAAGCTTGGGATAATCCGCCGCACAACACACAGTGAAACGAATCGTGCGGCGAACAAAGTTGTTTTCACGAGCTTTGTACTTAAGTCCAAAATGGTGACGACAACCAATAGCCGCCAGTAGCGGCGAACTGGCTATGACGGCAACATTGGATGTTTCTGAATAGCGTGGTGCAAAAGCATCGCCTGCTGCATTCCAAGCTTTAAGAAAGAACCTCTGAATCGGACAAACAGAGATAGCATTCATAATGAGATGTGGGAAAATATGAGTGTGTGTAGCCAGGGAGCGAGAGGGGCGGGAGGGGGGGGGGGGGAATGTAGGAGCCACAGCTGGGACAGAGGGCAGCTCACATATGTCAAGTCCAAACGGCAATAAAGCCGATACATTTAAGTTGCATAGATGTGCACGACAAAAAATACCATGTTTATGCTAGGATGAACCACAACACCTGACATCAACAACTCACATATGGAACACCTCTAGCCTTTATCACGCGACTGAACGTATTGCAGAGACCATCCTGGCAAATATCATCAATGCCAAAAGCACACATAAATGCGCACACTAGAAATAGTCCGTTTCAAACACCTTTGCCGCTGTCCGCCTTAGCTCTCTAAGGTGGGGAGTTCACGAAACCATCAGCTGACGGCGTCGGTCGGCGTGTGACGTCACGGGACGGCTGCGGCGGTTGCGGCGCGACGTCGACAGTGACGCACTGGCTCCCGCCCCGCCCGGCTCCAAACGTTACCAAGGACTGGGACCCGTCATGACCGGGCCACGTGCCAGAGGTCGAGGTCAACCCGTCGCCGCCGCCGACGCCAGATCGAAATCGTCGGCAGTATTTCCTCGGAGATGTCCGCCTCAGGAGGGAATATATCCCAGCCGGCCGCTGACTGAGCGATTTGACTTTCACAGCCGTGCGCAAAAACAAATTTACAAAAGCTCGTCATTTTGGGGGGGGGCAGACTTTGGCAGGTGAGCGGCAGCACCTCCAGCGCTGGCCCAGCCGGGGGGCCGCGGCCCGTTCTCTCGCGCGCTGGCACGTGACCGTGTCAGGGACAGGGTCAGCAAGGTCAAACTGGGCCGGGCGGGAGCAACTTACCGCTCGGCTCCTGGCACCAATGGTGAGACCATTTACCTTTCTGTAGGGATGACAACTTTGACAACGGCTCTTTGCAACATCTGAAGAAAAACATCAGCGAGAGACATTACAACACTACGTCTTAACCCGCAGGTTATTTCAAGTACAAAGATAAAAGCCTGACCATTAAACACATTGGTGGGGAAATGACCAAAACACAACTGTACGCACGGAAATACGACGCGCAAAAAGAGCCCATCGCTTAAAATAGCAAACAAATCCCGAGAATTTTCCGCCACCCCACACATCACACCCGACATATACCAACGGAAGTGCTGAACGACAAAATCTGCACTAGAGTGGTTCAAGTGTTTTCAAATCCTTGGATCTGACCGTGTGCTGCCAACGGCGTCAACAGGTCTGCTTCAAATGGGTTCACACGATTCGATGTAGCAGTGTTAAGACCAGACATGTGCTTCGTGACGTCACAATCTGGCCTCTGGTCCCATCCTAAACTGAGCCCTACGCAGCGAGAGCTGCCGATGGCGCGGCTGGGGGCGTGGGGGTCCACAGCTAACGCCGCTGGAATTCCACAGCCGTTGTTTGCATGCCTTCGTTCCCGGTTCGCGAGAGATGGTCGCAGCGTGGGGCCAACGGAATCGTTCCGGCATCAAGCACAAGTCTGATCACGAAACACGTGCAAGTGGGAGAGCGGAAGGAAAGCTGGAAATGCATGGGCAGCGAGGCTGGAAGGACTGTTAGGAGCAGAGGATGCACGAGGAAGAGAGGAAAGAGCAATCAGTGGCGGAGAGCAAACCAGGCATGGCAAGTGGAGGCGCGTATTTGTCCCGACAGGACAGCAGCCGGGGTGTCCTGGCCGGGTGCGGCCAGCACGTGACAACTCAGGCTGGCGCGGCGCCTCTCCGGAGACGACCGCGGGTGGCGCTGTTACCTTGTTGAACTGCTCCATGGCCGCCGGGTCCTCGGGCATCTGGTCACTCAGCGGTAACTATGTAACATCGGGCAGCGGGTCAACGGGGCGCACCGCGCAGCCGGCCGGCGCACACAGACAGACACGCAGACGCGCGGGGGAGACACCGCCACGCCGCCGCCCCGACGGCTCAACCCCACCCGCACCCCGTCCCACCCCACGCACGCCGGGGCGGAGACGCGCCCCCGGCCACGGCCCGCCCCCATGGCCCCCGAGAAGGCGGCTCGCGGCGGCGGCAGACAGCGAGAGCGCGAGACAGTCGAGCGGAGCGGATGACGGAGCGGGGAGGGTGGCGGTCGGACGGCGGCGGGGCCGTGTACCTTCTCCTTGTCTTTCTTGCGCGGCTGGGCGTTGAAGGGCAGCCCGGAGGGCGGCGGAGGCTTCGAGACCTCAATCAGCGCCGGCGGAATGTAGATGGGCTGTGGCGGGATGGGCACGCCCTTGCCCCAGCCCAGCTTCATCTCATAACCTTCCACGTCCTTGCCTGCAAAGCAATCGACGGTCGCGTCAGAGCCCGGGCTGCACGAACACCTACGCTCCCGAGCAGAACACTACAATACAAACGAGACTCTTGAGCCACGCCGCCGCTTAAAATCGCACGTCTATGCGCAATAAGACTTTCAATCTGCACCGTATGCACCGAAATTCAATCAAATATCCCCGGTAGTCGCAGCACCGGCGTGAGCGGCAACTGCCGTCTACCTGAGCCCGTCAGCGGCGCCCGCCCGCCCGCCCGAGACCCACCGCTGAGGTCCTCCAGCCCGCCCGTCAGCTCGAGACCCACCGCTGAGGTCCTCCAGCCCGCCCGTCTGCTCAAGACCCACCGTTGAGGTCCTCCAGCCCGCCCGTCCGCTCAAGACCCACCGCTGAGGTCCTCCAGCCCGCCCGTCCGCTCAAGACCCACCGCTGAGGTCCTCCAGCCCGCCCGTCTGCTCAAGACCCACCGCTGAGGTCCTCCAGCCCGCCCGTCCGCTCAATGCCCACCGCTAAGGTCCTCCAGCCCGCTCAAGACCCACCGCTGAGGTCCTCCAGTCCGCCCGTCCGCTCGTGGCCCACCGCTGAGGTCTTCCAGTCCGCCCGTCCGCTCGAGACCCGCCGTTGAGGTCCTCCAGCCCGCCCGTCCGCTCGAGACCCACCGCTGAGGTCCTCCAACCCGGCCGAGACCCACCACTGAGGTCCTCCAATCCGCCCGTCCGCTCGAGACCCATCGCTGAGGTCCTCCAGCCCACCCGTCCGCTCGAGACCCACCGCTGAGGTCCTCCAGCCCGCCCGTCCGCTCGAGACCCACCGCTGAGGTCCTCCAGCGCAGCCTCGGCATCGCGACGAGTCATGAAGGCGACGAAGCCGCAGTTGCGGCCGCGCAGCCGCTCCTCGTCGTTGCGGGGCCACATGATCTTGATGCTGGCCAGCGGGCCGTAGCGGCCGAATATCTCCATCAGCCGCTGCTCCGACAGCTGGCGGCAGGCGGCGCCACTGTACTGTGACGTCGCGTGCGCCGGCCCGGCCCGGCCGGAGGTGCGCGGGCGGGCGGCAAGTACGCACTCACTGCCGTGTGGGCGGTGATGACTCCGGGGGACGCAAACACTCACTGCCGCGTGGGCGGTGATGAATTTGGGAGGCACACACACTCGCTGTCGTGCGGGCAAACATAGCGCAGGGAACAACAGTCCGGAGAATGGTGGGGTTTCGTGAGGGATATAATAAAGCCGTAGGCTATAAAAGCCAGCCTGTCCCACCGATGCAAGAAAGGTGAACTCGGGGGAGGCGGAGGGGGGGGGGGGGGGCTGACGTCGACGCATCACTCTTATGGAAAACAGGATGCCAACAATGACGTCACTACGGCTGACCCACGAGGCAGCCAACATAAACAAACCGAACAAATGGTGAGGCGCCCACCGCCGGCGTGGCCAGGTGGCGATTAAGACTTTCTGAAGATTATGAAAGGGAATACTGAGTACGAATTGACGTGAAATTTGGTTGCAACGGCATCTAGTTTCACGTTGTGTGTGAATATCCTGGTCTGCCTCCCGATGGTCGTAACGCGATAGTATTTCAAGTGCAGAGCAAATTGCAACGTTCTGCTGAAAGCTCCTTTGTCGCCGAGTCAACTCGCGTTATTCGCCATCTGGCAAATATTGATTCCGTGCATGTTCTTGCTGCGTTCTGCGGCTCCATCGCATCACATCGCCATATTTAGCCATGGACGCGTAACTTAATGCCGGGCAGCACGCATCCTTTGCAACAAGCTAAATGCTAACTGCTAGCAAATGCCTGCTAACAATCCCATCACCTTTTTAGTGACTGATGACAGAAGACTGACGTATTTTGTTATAGGTCCTCATTCATCGGAAGCTCTATACACAAATTCGGAATTCGGATAGGTCAAAGATTCGGATAGGTCTGTGTCATTATTTGTTTCCATGAGCACTGCTCCATCTATGGCAGACTGGGTCCCGTTCCTAAAAGCGCAAATCTAAAAGAATCCTAACAAACTGTCACAAAATGAACGTATGCTGCCTCAAAAGCTTATAATTATGCTGTCGGTGCGCTCAAGCACAATGAGCTCAATCCAAGCTTTACAGAACGGTGACAACAGAAAGCCTGGGGTCACCTTGCCGCTTGAGTGTAGGACTTACCTTGGGGGAGAGGTTGCCCAGGTACAAGTTAGTGGTGGTCGGATCCCCGCTGTCGAACGAGCCATACGGGTTGGGAACATCTGAAACCACACCAACCATAAAGGCCTGCTTGGGCGACGTCCTTCACTCACGAAAACCGCGCCATTCAAGGAAACGACAGGGCGCGTGTCCGCAGCGATATGGACAGCGACAAACACCGAGCAATCCCCCCGGATCGCGTCCTGCACCACAACCTAACGTTGCAGGCAGCTCACCATGGCATCGCCTGAATTAAGCTCGTCCCCTAAGCAAAAACGCACGGCAAGTCACGCTACGACACACGTCGCCAGCTGATCGGCCAGCATGAGCCGGCTTTGACCGCGCCGGAAGAATCACGGTGTGTGTGTGGGGGGGGGGGGGGGGGGCGGTGGCAGCTGACCGGTCGGCCGCCTGTCGTCCGCGTACCGAGACTCAGCGGCGACGGCGTGATGGGCGGCAGCTCCGGCGTGTCGAAGCGGGACACCCGGCCCGACGAGGTGGCCTCCTTCATCTGCTCCTTCAGCCGGTGCCGCTCCTCGCGCTCCTCCTGGATCCTGCAGCGGGTACGCGCGCGTGACGGTCACAGCCGGAGCCGCTGGGCGATGCACGCATGCAGGCAACCCAGAACAAGGTTCGTGTGACGTTAACAACTGACGGGTGGTAACGGTGTGTTAGCTAAGCAGCACATACATACTGGACCTGCAGCTATCTTATGGCGGCGATTGCGAAGCGCAAAAACGTCCGCTGTTCTGTAGAATGTAGCTCGCACACCACGCCGGAGTGTGAGGGAATGTGCCAATGAGTCTTTTCAGCTGTCATGCATAAACTTGCACCTTTTAAGCTCCTCCTTGAACAATTCCAAATTGCTCTTCTTTTTGCCATCTTTTTTCCTGACGATTCTCTCGATTCTGCTCCTGGTCGGCTCCGGTGAGGGTTTGCGTTCAGAAGGCTCAAACCGAGAACTGGGCTTGTACAGCTGGCCTTTTTCCTTGGTGGTTTCCTCTGAAAACCAAACAATCAAGTGAATCTGTTAAGCTTTGTTCATTTGCAAGAATGAAACAGTGCATGTAAACCAGAACCTTAACAAGAGTTCCCGACACACTTGACATCCACGGGAATTTGCTTCACAAAGCCAATCTTGCCACATTCCGCATCATTCAGTAGATCCAGGCACACTCCAAATCCATGGTAATTGGCTTTACATAGCCATTATTATCATATCACACATTACATGGTACATAACACTTATCTTTTCACCAACTGGATAGCTTCAAACTATCATGGCCAGCTGAAACCACAACTCTCACCAAGACACTCCGCAAGCACAAAACGCTATGCCAATATGTGTGGTCATCTTACCTCTGGTGCCTGCATTGAATGTTCCAGCTTTCACCCACACCTTTCCCTTAGACGCCGCTGGCTCTTCATCGAAGGTCTGCACAAATTCCTCAAAAGCCTGTGCAAAGTCAAACAATTTTGGTAAAAAAGGCAGACAGTTGCACATTGAATCACACATTACACCACCAACAGTGTCCACCTGTGATACTGCAGGTTTGCTGAATTGATGCATGCCCAGAGAGGAGAAACAACATTTCTGAGAAGTTTACAAGCAGCCAAGGCATTGCAACAGGAAAGGACAGCAAAGAAAAATGCCAGGATATCACCTGGGATCAGATGTAATGTGCATGTGGACTGTGTATTATATACATATGATGGCACATTAGGTTTGATTTCATGTCCCTCATAAATATTCAGCTGTCATATATTCCCCACCACGACCCACACGTAATGAGCCTGTTGGCCACGTGAACCAATGTGTGGTGGACGATCTGTGCCTTATAAACTGTCTGTGAAATAAGCAGCCCTAAGATGTGAGCTATCCATACAGAGATATCTGCTCGAGTGTTTTTATTTAACTAGGCAAAACAATAAAAAAAGTGGACAAAAACCATGATTAACAATTCCACTGCATGTTATGAGGAGGCAATTTCGAGCCCGTAAACTTCTACTGCTAAGGGGCAAATCGAGTGGAAACTGTTTCAATAATACAAAGCATGTACAGAACACATTAAACAGGTTAAAGCAAAATTCTTAAAACTGCTGCCTGCAGGTCCCATAGAATGTCGAGGCACGGGCAAATAGTTGCGTGTCTTACGACGATGGTGAGGACAAAAAAACAACGACGGTATCCAAATGTTGTGATGGGTAGCTAAATGAGAGACCAGCCTGGCAAAACAAAAACACTCAATAAAAACATCATTAGCTTTGTTTGCTGAGCCCAAGTGTTGTTTTCTCTACCGACGAAAGTCGTCGTATACATAAATCAACGCCGATGGAGCGCAATAACATCGCTAACGGCAACCACCGTCACCCTCAATCACAAAACGCATGCGGGCGGCCGCATGCCACCCCCCCCCCCCCCTCTCCCGAGGAGATTATCGTTAGATAACGCCGAGGTCATGTGCACGAAATATGAACGCGCCCCGTCCCCCAACATATGTATGGTGCACTCAGAAACTTTTGAAAGCTGGAGGCGAGCACCGAGTTGCCCCTACTCCTCAGCATTCTTGTGATGCCATACATGGAGATGCGAGGTAGCAGAGAGGGTGGAAAGTGAATGAAGTTGACATGTATTGTTTATTATAGCTGCCTGAGGCTAAACAGTTACTTGGGTTTTTTCCATGAGGAATAAAACTGGTACATGACAAGCAGCAGGTGACAAACACTTTGAATGAGGAACAAAACAGCTTTCTTTCCTTCATGATTGGCCACTTTGAACAGCAGCTTTCATATGGTGAAAAAATGTTTCTGATTGCAGATAACTGGTCAATGGTAGTTCACGTCCACTCATCCTGTTGTAAGCATCAATTAATAAAACCAACAGCAGGTTGAGCCAGCTAATGTCAAGCTTGTCTATGCTGATTACTCTTAATGATTTACTGGAGTTGAGAACAATTCCTCCCATGCAAACTCCATCTGTCTGGTGCCTCTATTAGGTTTGCATAGTTGGTGTTTGGGACAGAGCAGTGTGGTAGTGAATCAGAAGCTGTCTGATCTGGTGTGGTGCCAGGATCTCACTAGGGAGGAGACATTGCTTGCAAGTAGATGCTGTTTGTTTTTCTCTATAGTGGTACTCCTCAGACTGTACTCACTTGTTTCATGTACAACAACAATTAGTAAAAGTTTTGTAGGCTAATTTGTTCTCTGGAAGGTAATTTTGCTATTAAAATTGGTCTGAAAAATACCCTCCTTTGGGCAAATGCTTGAACAATTAAAACTATAATGGGCAAATCAACATCTTTTATGCCACTGCAAACCTCATCTTGCAATGGGACTGGTCACAGATTTGAGCCTGCTGCACTTGTCACATCCTCTAATATTCACTCAATCATTGAGCGGGGCAGCATTATCTGGTGAGTGGTACAAAATTTCATGTTTCTTTCCTTTTGAGCAGACAGGATCCCACACACATTTGCAATCTGGCTGGCTTGGAACCAGTGTGTACTATAACAATGTAACATCCATCCTGTTTGGTGTGTAGGATACATATACTCATTCATGCTACCATATTCCTGCTTTGCATGTGAACTCTACACACAATCTGGAAGGGCTTATCAGTAGCCCTTTGACCTCAAACCTATGTAGATGGCATGCTTGGCCAACTCATCAAGCCTGATGCACTCAGATGCTGGGCTGATCTCCCAGTTTGGTGGTGATTTGTCAATTTTGAGTAAGGGGACAGGCAAGAGGCAGTAAATGAGAAGCCAGGGCTGTAATGTCATAAAACAAATAATTGTTGTAAATAGCTGTAAAACTGACATTCCTGCCATCCCAGTGGCCAACTACTGAAACACAGGTGTGCCATCTTACTCACTCAGCTAAGTGCATTTTGTAACCCTGTCCAGCACCTTGAAAATTGAACCTATGTAGCACACTGCATCCATGATATGATCTGGACATTCATGGAAGCAACTGGCAGAGTCAATAAGCATAAATTACAAAAATGCTTATGGACCTTATGACATACCAGGAATGCTGTTGACAAGCTGAGTGCATGTCAGTCTCCAGATCAAGCTTGATGAATGAAGCTTAATGTACCCTTGATTCAGTGAAGAAGCATACCACATATTTAATATAACTCTAGTTTATACAGCTGTAGCATGCACCAACAGCCTGGCTTAAGCCAGGACTGACCATACACATGTGATTCCCTTGCTAGGTCAATGTGTTCCATCTTCATCCTTTTATTATTACAAGTGATTCATTTGTGCAGAAATGTATAAGCATTGGTTATGTGGCTCATGTGACTCTCTTCAGCTGGCTAGACCCTGCCACACACTGAGTCAGCCTGTCCCTCATGACAGACCCCCATCACCTAGTGAATTTACATTTACAACTGTTATTCAGTTTCTACTCTGCACATGCATGGTCCAC